ACAAAATTGGAAAAAGAACACTCTGAATGGTTTAGAGAAGCCTCAGATACAAAATGGTTAAGAGGGGTTGTGTAACCATTAAGAGTCTCTCTTTTTTTGCCAAACACTCTTAACCTCTTACCGATTAAGAGGTTGGCTCTTAATGTAACCATTAAGAGCCAAACAAACAGCCCCTAAGATAACGTTTCGTTTGATGAAATTGTTTTGAGAGATTTGGATTTCGTGGAAGTGTTTGGAATTAAATGGATTTTGAAATCTTTTGTGTGTCTGGTTTGTAAGATTTGGAATGAAATTAATTTGAGTTTTTATAAAAAAATTACAAATAATTAAATTATTTTTTAATTAATTGATTATTACAAAAACAAGTGTTGTAAACTTATTTTAAAACATTGTTACATACAAATCATACAAAATCTCACGAACATCAATCATCCCCGTGGATGTGTTCATGGAATTTCAAATCTATGAAATCTATCAAACCAAACATGAGATTGGAGTGAAACTCAATTCCAAATTCTTTCAAATATAATCAAATCATATAACTTGAAATCTTCATTTTCTCCGTTTTGTAGAATCTGTCGAAGATGCTCTTACTGTTTTGTAGCAATACGCTCACGTTCACTTAAAAGCATTAAATTGCTCCGACAGCAAAAGGACAAATTCGATAAATCATTTGTATCATCCAACAGCTTTTCACGGTTTTTTATGGTTCGAGTCAAGTTTTTGATTTTAGTTTAATGTTGTCGTTTTATTGAACGTTTTTTTTTTCATATACGTCGTTGTATTTGTTTGGTTTGGATCTTCGCTCAGGTTATGTTGTTTCAGGTGTTCGTTTATCTATCACGTAGTCATGTTATTGTTGATTTCATTAACAAGGCGACAAGACTGAAACAATTATTTCAGCGGGGAAGGGTTGTATCACGAGATGTTGCATTGTCTCGAAGCGAAACAAGTTATTTTAGTTGGGTCAAACAGATCAAGTCGGGTTAGTTGGCCCATCGATGTTTTTATGTTTTCTTCATTATTTTAATAAATAACAGATGTATTAAATATGATTATAACGACGATAATATATTATAGCTATTTTCTATTATTTTGTCCCATTTTAATTGTTGTTTATTTTTATTTCGCTGATTTGATCCGTTATAGATAAGACATAATTCAAAATGATCCATTTTATAAGTAATTATTAAATTATTTTAAAAACAATATGATAAAGTCGTCCATTTTCAAATAAAACCCGTGCCCGGGAGATCATAGAGGCTATTGAGTTTTTTTTTTTTTCTCGTTGCTATATTTACAGTTTTACAGGAAGGAGGATTTTATTAACGATTCACTTGTTTTTGGAAGCACAATGGAAGGGGAATTTTATTAACGGGATTGGTATTATTAAACAGGGATGAGACCCGAGGACCAATTACTATAATCGAACTGAACCTAAACGAAAACCGAACCGTACGTATCTAATCGGTTTAGTACTCAGTTCCTACTTTTCTCGTATTTCAGCATTTAGTTTTTCAGTTTTTGCTACCAACTTTTTCCCAAAAAATACTGAAACCAAACCAAACCAAACATGAGGGCACTATGACTTTTGAAACTCCATCAATATCTTCTCCTAAACTATGCATATTATAAACTTTTTGATTGGTTTTGATACACATTATGAACTTTTTTGACCGATATGCGATTGGTTTTGACACACATTTGAAAGATTCTCATGCGATTGTTATGTCTCTTAACCCACTTTCAAATTTCGGTCATAAGTAGTCCTAGTATCGAAAGTCCCCGGACCGAAATCGAACTGGAACATACGGTTCGGTTATCGGTCTTAGTATCGAGTCCCACAAAAACGACACCATACAGTTCGACACCGGTGCTGGAGATCTCACCCCTATTAATAAATAGCAACCAATTACGGTGAGGGAGTTGAGACAATGGAGGGGGTGATCTATAAGTAGGGATCGGCGGTGGTAGTGGTGGCACATAAAAAAAGGGTTGGTGATGGTGGCGGCAGTGTGTAAGACGAGTTGGAGAGAAGATGGTTAATGGTGAGATGGAAAAATTAGTTAAGTTTGTAAAGTTTATAAAAATATTTTATGAACGTCATAACGATAAATCAAAGTTATTTTAAAGTTACCGATTTAAGAAAGCAAGCCACGTTTGAATGCTTTACAATCTCGTGGCTTTGAAACGTTGTGCATCTCCACGTTACATTTTCTTAAACATATACATACAAAATCACATAGGAACTGATCGATTTACAAAGATAAATAAGTAGCTTGATCTTGTGTGTATATATATAGGTAAATCCCCAAAAAGGAAGTGGCATGTTGACAAAGGGCCTTTGGCCTAACAATGTGTAAATTTTTGGCCTTTTAGGAGGTAAGGGGTTCAAACCTCACTAAATATAACGAGGGTGTGTGATTTTATTTGTTTTATATACTCCAATAGTTGTATTATATTTTTCTTTATTCCTAAAATAGAGTATTAGATGTTAAAATTTCATAAAAAGTTAATATCAACACCAAAATTACTCTATTTTAAACATTTCATGAGTTATATTATTAAAACATACAATATTTTAAATAAAATAATATTTTATCTCATAAAATTAAGTTTTAGTGCCTCTTATCTTACTGGTGGGTAATTAAGACATTATTTGGCAAAATAAATTTATTTATTTTTCAAGTACATGTTTGAATAATAATTAAAATGTTAGTTGGAGCTGTGTTTTTAGAGCTTATTGTCAAAAAAAAAAAAAAAATCAATGTTAACCCTCATTAATAGTAATTATTATTTTTACTATTAAATATAAATAATTATCATTTTCTAGTAAAAATTTAATCATTCATAATGTTATTGAATATTAATTATTAATCAATAGTAATTAGTATAAACTAAAAGTTATTAATTAATTTAACTATATATATCAATATTAATTAGTAATTATTTTGAAGTAATTATAAATCATATCAATTGTTTTTATATTATTATTTTTTATTCAATATTTAGTTATCAAAAAATAAATATAACAATTATAATTTTTTT